TTGCGCTCGAGGAACCAAAAAAATTGGGTCGGCAGAAAAATAGGCACACAGTTCAAACTGGGTACCTAGCAAGGTACCCAGTTCGACATGCAGTTGGGTCTGCTCCCCCTTGCTTGAACACAACAGGATGGTCCCTTACAGGAACCGACAACGGACACGAGGAATCACACGTGCTAGAAGCTGTCAACGCACACATCTCGGCTGCAGTGACCAGGAATCTTTCAGAACTTCGCGACGGTCTTGGCTGCAGTGTCCTCCCGTCACGTCTTCATTTCTGCCGCTTTTCGGGCTGAGCTTATGGGTCTCAAGCTCAGCCCGAAAAGCGGTAGAAATGAAGTCCGCACCCCCTTCAAACGCGTGACGACGCAACATCGATCAACACTTTTCTTTTCTGGTAGAAAAAGAGAGAAACAGAATCAGAGAGTTTTGAAGTAACTGGGGGTGAAGCAACCATGTTGTTGTTATCTTTTCTTAGCCAGGGAGAGGATGATTTAAGGAAGAAAAATGTTGGGAGGCAACGAAGGAGCTTGTTACAGGTGTGACGTTGGTGGTAGTAGACTATGTGTTACTCAGTTACAGCGGTAGTGATAGATGGGAGGTGAGCGGCGATTTTTGAGAAAATCGACGAAGGGACGGCTCAGACGATCGGCGGCTTCGGCGAGTCTGGAGGAGGTTACACATCGTGGGGCAGGGGCCTCGATAACCCCTTCGCCCACTATGACCACCCCCTCCATCATGACCACCCCCTCCATCATGACCGCCTCGTCCTCTACGACCGCCTCGTCCTCTACGAGTTTGGGGGCGGCGTCGCAGCGTCGGTGTGCGGCAGGGATCTCGACGACTGCCCCGCCTACCTCGACCTTGTGGAGGCACTTGTAGTTGGCGAGGGTCTGCCTGACACTGAAACTGCGAACCCGACTAAAACCCATGAAACGTCGGGCTTCACGGTCCTCAAAAGCTTCATCCGTCCCCTTCCTTGTGAAACGTAAGTACCATGTTAATTCTTGTAGGTAGTCGTAGCTCAGACTTTGGCGATCGAGTTCGCCCCCCACCAGGGCTAGACTTTTGTTGAGACCAACTAACGATAGCAGCAGAGATGCTTGAAGCTTAGGACTGCGTGTGAGCAACTCAGCGAATTCACGCACAGCATCCTCGTTCTCGTTCGACTTAGGCAGGCTGCCTGGGTACACGTCCAAAAACACCTTGCCTCCAACGACTAGTGCGTGGGCCTTAGCACACTTCCTTAGCTCACCAAGTAAATGGTATATGTCGCGCGTCATTTTCGTCAGCTCCGCACCCTCATCCTCCATTTCCTTCAGCGGCTCAACAACACGCACCACGTCAAACGAACACCCGTTGTAAAAAACCGGCATCACAACGGCTGCCAAACTAGCCATATTCACTGACGGCTTCGACTCCGCAGCAGTTAAGCATTTCATCTTCCCACCTTTTGAGATCCAGGAAAAAAAAATTTGCTGTCGGACAAACAAAAATTTTGCGTCGGACAAATTAAAATTTAGTCCGGCTTGTTGCAAACAGAACGGCGTCATTGCAGCTACCTCAACCTCCTTCGATTTCAAACAATTTTTATCTCACTACCAATCGTCTCACTATTTGTCGCGCTTCATCGTCCCACCGTTTGCGCTCGGGCAACCAAAAATGCGCAAGCAGTTATCAGGGTCTCCGTCCCTCGTTCGGACGCGTCGGTCTCCGTGATTACTCGCCGGACGGGATGATGTTGCGCTCGAGAAGGCCACTCGGAGTTACAAAAGCGATGAACGCCTGGCGCCCCTGGTCGATTGGCACGTTCCAGAACTCTAAGTACATAACTAGCGTGCGGTAGTTCCTCGGCTTGGCCGTCCGTCGCATGTGGTCCAGATGCGTGAAATGGGGTTTGGACGGGGTAGGAGTCAGCGACCGTGGCCGTGTTGAATCTGCGGCAGTCGACGGGCCTACCCCGGGACACTAGGTCACCTGTCGGGTGTGCCTAGCAAGTTGGG